GAAATTATAGATAAAATTGAACAAAGAAAATTATCATTTAGTCGTATTCGAGAAATGAACGCAAAAGAATTAGGGATACTACTTAGAAATCAGAATGTAGGTGCTGCTGTCAAAAAGTGTGCTATGCAACTTCCATATATTGAAGCTGTTGAAAGTATTCAACCCATAACTAGAACTATTTTAAGGATAAATTTAGAACTATTCCCAGAATTTGAGTATGTAACATGACAAGTTTCATTAAATTTGTGTTCTTATTTTTTTTTATTAATAAGTTGTATTATTTTGTAATTCAGATGGAATGATAGGTTTCATGGTAAAACATCAGTTGCATTTTGGATTTGGATCGAAGATCCAGAAACAGATATGATATACCATTGGGAACAGTTTCTTATCACTAAAAACCAGGTATTGAAAAAAACATTATTTCCATTAATTTCTTTCTTGTGCATTTTCTTAAGACTATGTTTATGTTTTTAAGGTTATTAGAAAAGAAACACAAAAGTTAATATTTACCATACCTTTAGTTGAACCATTACCATCTCAATATATACTTCATTGTACTTCAGACAGATGGTTAGGTACAACTTTCACTACACCATTAACATTCCAGCATCTTATAATACCACATAGCCATGCTTCAGTGACAGGTATATAAATCAACAATGTTTTAATCATTTTTTTTAATTAAAAAAAAAAATTGTGTTTTAGATTTATTGGAACTTCAGCCATTACCACTATCTGCTCTTAAAAATCAGAGTTATCAATCTTTATATAATTTTACACACTTTAATCCAATACAGACACAAATATTTCACTGTTTATATCATACCGATAATAATGTACTTTTGGGAGCGCCTACTGGATCTGGTAAAACAATAGCTGCTGAAATTGCCATGTTCAGAGTGTTTAATGAACAGCCAGAGGCAAAAGTAATAAATAATTAGATAATTTAAATTATAATTTGCTCATGTTAAATAATATCATTGTGTTTTTAGGTAGTATACATAGCTCCATTAAAGGCACTCGTGAGAGAACGAATGAATGATTGGAAAATTAGATTAGAAGATAAATTAAAAAAATCAGTTGTAGAATTAACAGGTATTATTAAATATGTAATACATAGAACAATTAATTTAATCCTGAATATTCCATCTTAGTCACTTTTTTTTTTTTAACAAAAAATTCTAAAATTTGATTTGACTTACTTAATTCTTTGAGTTAATTTTTAAATAATTATTTTTTTTAGGTGATGTCACGCCCGATATAAAAGCTATATCAAATTCATCAGTTATTGTCACTACTCCAGAAAAATGGGATGGTGTTTCTCGTAGTTGGCAAACACGTAACTATGTTCGCCAAGTGGCTTTAGTAGTACTTGATGAAGTCCATCTTTTGGGTGAAGATCGTGGTCCAGTGTTAGAGATAATAATCTCTAGGTTAAATTTTATATCAACACATACAGGACAACATACTCGTCTTGTAGCTTTGACTACTGCTCTGTCAACAGCTGCTGATCTTGCAGCTTGGTTACATATTGGGGAAATGGGTCTTTACAACTTTCGTCCATCTGTCAGGCCGGTTCCTCTAGAAGTACACATTAGTGGCTATGCTGGACGAAATTATTGTCCAAGAATGGCAACCATGAACAAACCAATTTATCAAGCTATTAGACAACACTCTCCAACACAACCAGTTATGATTTTTGTGTCATCTAGAAGACAAACTCGACTAACTGCTTTGGATCTGATTGCATATTTAGGTGGTGAAGATAACCCTAAACAGTGGGTTCGCAAAAGTGATTACGTAAGATAAAATTGTAGCACAATATTTATTATTTTGTTATGAATAAAAATTTAATTAAAATTATTATCTTGTAGGAAATGGATCTAATCATCGAAAATGTTAGAGATCCAAACCTGAAGCTTTGTCTTGCTTTTGGCTTAGGTTTACATCATGCAGGATTACAAGATAAAGACCGTAAAATTGTTGAAGAATTATTTATTAACCAACATATTCAAGTAAGATACCAACATCTTCTTATTATTTAAATATAAGCAAATAATAAAAATTATTCTATTTGTTTTAAGGTTTTAATTGCTACATCAACTTTAGCATGGGGTGTTAATTTTCCAGCACACTTTGTTATAGTAAAAGGTACTGAATTTTATGATGGCAAGCTCAAAAGATATATTGACATGCCAATTACAGATGTGTTACAAATGATGGGAAGAGCAGGAAGGCCTCAATATGACAATATGGGAATAGCACTAATCATGGTAAAAATAAAGAATAAAAAAAATTTAACCAACTTGTTAGTTTTATGCGTTATGACTGATGAATAAACATTTATGTTTCCAGGTCCATGATATAAAAAAAACTTTTTATAAAAAATTTTTGTATGAACCTTTTCCTGTTGAATCATCTTTAATAGATGTATTACCTGACCATTTCAATGCTGAAATAGTAGCTGGAACTATTAAGACTAAACAAGATGCCATTGAATATTTGACTTGGACTTATCTTATACAAAGATTGATGAAAAATCCAGAATATTATGGATTACATAGCTTGGAAGAAAGTTCTATTAACAAATTTCTTTCTGATTTAGTGGAACGATGTATTGGAACTCTATATTCCAGTTACTGTGTGGAAATCGATGAAGTATATTTTTATTTATTTTAATAGAACTTTTAAAATAGAACATTTAATCACATTTCAATTTAGGATCAACGAACTGTAAGATCTACTCCACTGGGTCATATTGCTTCATATTACTATTTACAACATAAAACAGTAAAAACTTTTCAAGAGAGGCTTAAAAGTGAACTTGATATAAATGATTTAATAAAAGTTTTAGTTGATGCCGAGGAGTTTAGTTTACTTCCAGTTAGACATAATGAAGATCTTATGAATACGTAAGTAATAAAAAAAAATATAATTTTTTTTTTTTTAACACTTATTTTGTATTCAGTGAATTAGACAAACAATGTCCTCTTGATATTGACGGCCGTTTGTATGAATCTTCTCATACCAAAACATTGATTTTGCTTCAAGCACATTTCTCCCATTTGAAAATGCCGTGTTCAGATTATATAACTGATCTTAAGTCAGTATTAGATCAATCAATACGTATTCTACAAGCAATGATAGATATCAGTGCGGAAGCTGGTTACTTAGTGTCATGTTTAAGATTAGTGCAACTAATGCAAATGATTATTCAAGCCCGATGGATCACTGACCCACCTGTAATCACTTTACCTAATGTAGAAAAACATTTAATACCATCACAAGTGCTGCCTTTGCTTTGCTTACCTCATCTATGTAATACAGCACTTAAAAGTTATAAAATGTTTGAAGAGATTATGCTAAAAACTCAACTTGAACATGAAGAAATCGAAAAAGTAAAATTCACTAAAAATATTCCAACTAGTAATATTTTTTAAGCTTTGTTAATTTAATTTTAATTTTTAGGTATATAAAACTATCATAGATATGCCAGTGGTAGAAGTCCATCTGTTTATTCAAGGCAATTGGTCTGATAGCGAAGAAGTTCAAAAGGTAATAGAACATTTTTTTTTTTAAGATTTATTACATTTTTTAGTTGAATCAAATTAAAACTATAATATTTTTATTTTTATAGAAACTGGTAGAGAATGGTAAAAGAATGAAAATTATGGCTGGATCAGAGTATACATTAGTTGCTGAGGTAAAAGTCCTCAATCGTTTAATACCATCAAAAGCATATGCACCAAAATTTTCCAAACCAAAGGACGTAGGTTGGTTTATGATTCTTGGTTCTATAGAGCAATGGGAGCTGATAGCTCTAAAACGTCATACTAATAACCGCTATAGAACAACTTCTAGCAGATTAGCATTTAATACACCTGAAAAACCAAGTGAATAATTTTACAATTGTTTTTGAAATCTATTTCCTAACATTTATCAACATTGCATAATAATTTTGAATCTTGTATTACTTTTTATTTTTATAGGTTATTTAAATTGGACTTTCTATATGATGTCAGATTGTTACCTTGGTTTGGACCAACAATATGAAATTGAATTCAATGTGGTATAAAAAATTATTAAAAATAATAAGATCAACATTATTATTAATTTTTTTTTTCAATATACATTTATTTTGTATGTAATATTATGTTTGGAAAACATTTTTATATTTTTAAATAAATTATTTTTGTTTTATTATTTTTATAATTATTCATGTTACGCATATTTTCTATTACTAGCCAATATTTACATTTTTATGTATATATATTTATTATGTTGACTTTAAAAACTTCATTAAACAGAATTGTTAAAATTTGTAAATTACAAAATGTAATTTTGAAGGTTTTTTTGTTTTTATTTCATAAAAGAATTAATAGAAATACTTAAAATCAAATATTTTTAAATCTCATAACAATTAATATAACTATAGCATTGTTTTAACTACCATAAAAATATAGAAACTGATAGAATTCAATACTTGCTTCAATATATTAAAAATGATAAAAATTTAAACCATTTTAATTGTTAACAGTTTAAAAACAGTTTTCAGTTAATGGTAAATTTTATATACACTAAACCTTGAATTATTTTCATGTTGCTTAAAAAAACATTTATTGATAACCATGATAATTGAAAACTATTGATAATGTATATGTACACTTTTATTGTATATACATTTTCTACGAGTAATATATAAAATCTGATTGCTTCGATAACCGTGTATAAATTTAATTAAATAAATACATTTATTTTATTGTTGCAATATGACAATTGATTATACTGTAATCCATAAGCGTAGAGTAAATTGGTGTACCAGTGCTCAGACACCCAATAAAAAAGATTTTTTTTCTGAAATAATGTGTATGCATGTCCAACTTTTATTTTCTTGAACACATATTAACTATTATATGAAGCATACTATAACCACAAGGAAATGTTTGATAAAAAAAAAATTTAGCTTCTAATACATTTTTATTCTCACAGTACATAAATAACATAGAAAAATATACAACTAAGTTTATATATATATATATACTTAACACTAATATTTAAACAAAATTTGAAGCAATAGCCAACAATTTAGTGTAATCAGCTCCTTTTGAGAAAGTTTTTTCTTTTAATATAGTTCTGAGAACAATTGGAATGGGGACATTAATACGAGTTCCAAGTGGTGTGCCATTATCGTCAATCAATACTATATTGTTGCTATCAAACCTGGGAATATTGGGTTTTTGTTCCTTGACGCAGCCTACAATGATGGCTTTTACTTTTTCACCCTTGATAGCAACCAATATTTTGTCACCAATTGTGCCAATACCTTTCTTATTATAAATGTGTATGCAACGCGGGGGTTTACCTTCAGCCATCGCTTGCTTGCCAATTGTACTGTTGTCAACTACACGCAGACGGGTCAGTTTCATTATGTGATTACAAACGGACGAAGTGGAAAATTGTCGGGCTGCAAAAATCGTAGACTGAAAAATAATTTAAAAATAACAACTCTTATTTCAATTGTATGAAGATTTAACCCAATGTAATATTTTTTTAAATTAAAATCAACTACTAACAAAGTGAACAAGACATACCATTATTCAAATTTCAAAGTAGCTAATAACACGTCTGGTCTGACAGATCTTATAAACTATATAAGATATAACAGATTAACAGTAGACGAAACAGAAGTTTTTATAATGCGCCAATGCCAAAATTGAAAATACCGAATACTAATTAGAGATAACAAAATTCATTTCCACCCGGCACCTAATATTATTATTTAGATACTAGTATGTAGTATCTAATGACCTTGGTTTCCACCATCCATAATAACAAGTTTAATATCAATGTTTTTCAATTTTCCATTGATAATAAAGGTCTAGTTATTGATAAGATGGTCCTCATACTGGTCGTGGATGATGAGTTGCCTATGAATTATGATATGCCCTTGTTGTGCCCTTCGTTCATACTAAATCCACTCATGAACATGGACCTCTAAACTTTAATTATTTACTCTAGTTTATAGGTCTATGTTCATGGAAATTCTATTCAAATTATTCAGTATTAATACCCTAGACAACATGATAAATGATAATTATTAAATACCACGTGATTTATTTCGATTTTATTATTCACTTTTATTTTAGCTTTATAGTTTATAGGTACCCAATTTTTTAAAATAATAAAATGTTAAAATTATACGAAACACAGAATAATCAAATGAATTAATGGCACTACGGCGGCGCACATTAAATATGTCTTCGAGCGCTGTTAGACAAGTTCGCTACAGCGAGAACTGCTTACGGTTTTATACTTATCCGACTTTACCAGTAACTAGTTAATAATCGGTTTAATGTTTAATGTTCATTACTTCATTGTTCACACACGATTCGATTGTATAAAATATAATAATAGGTACGAACGTTCAGTCTTAGTTTAGCACATTCATTTACAATTTACCTAGTTGCCGTCATGCGCTCAAATGTGAAAACGTTTAAGCATTTATTTAAATAAATTTTAAGTCGTGATACTCGTGAGTTCGTGACTAGAATTCCCCAATCTAATCAATAATTAAATTATTAGTTTATAAATATTGAACGTTATAATAATAATTGAAGTATTATTTTCAAAACAAAAATTTTTAATTAATAGATAGGTACATATCTCGATTCTTTAACTTTTTAAATATAGCCAAGATATTTATATTAATGATAATATTATAAATTATGGAAACAAAAAATTACAAAATATAATATTAATTGTAGTAAATAAGCGAATGGAGTGAGAGAGGATTACAACGATAATAACTAAAAAAAACTAGAATAAAAATAAGATTCCTATTTTTATAAGCAATAATTAAAAATTATTTGCACTCCTCATAGTTATACCTTAGCACCTACAATAAATCTGACATAGTTAGAATTTAAAACAAACATACCAGTGAACTGTCAAATATAATTTATAAACACCGTTTAATTTAGATTGAATATTAAATGACTAATGAATTATCCTAGAAAGTACATACTATAACTATATACATACTCATATTGTCATAATATTATATATGTATAAAATTAACCATCATAATGGCCAAATTTTTTTTTATGCACTAGAAATGTATTAAATATGCATGCATTTATGTACTGATTATCATTCAAATATGCAAAAAAATCTTTTATTTTCATTAAGTATAAATAAATTAAATCGAATGAAAGTTATGCACACACGGATCATGAAAGTGTACGATTCACTAAAATCTACTCAATAACAGATTACTACTTGTCAGTTGTCCCGATATATATGTGTCAGATAAGATAGGAAAACGATATTGTCAAATTACATAGACTATAAAATACGTTATTTTAATTAAAACAAGCAAAATATTACATATTTGCATTCGAAAACCGTATATATGCAATGAAAAAATTGTAAAAATCAGAAATAAACAGTACATATCAAAATATGCAAAATAAAACTTTATATTTAGTATCTATTGACTAAAAATCAAACTTGTAGCATACCTAGCTATTTTTTGGACTATTCAGAAAAAACATGCAAATTTATAAAAAAATCGGGACCCTACTCATCACTCATCATTATAATATCTGTTCAATTTTAAAGTATTTGGCGGTCACTATTTATATAAGGTATTGGTCAAGCAACAGAAGTAACATTGGTTTGTTGGTTCTACCGAAACCAGTAACAACTCTCTGTGGACATACCGTGATAGTGCGCGCGTCTGCCGCCGAGTATCTTAATTGAACCAAGTGTAATATAGCATTCTAATTTCTATTGGTACGTAATTGTTAAGACAGTCGACGATTTAATATACTTGGTAAGTATTACTTACACGAGTTACACGTTAGTGTCAAAGTAATGAATGTATTGCATGTAAGGTAATATCGTTTGATTTCAATATCTTTTACAATATGGTGAAAGTAATCACTTGCATGTTTATTGCATAATGATTTTCATCAGAGTATGCTGATAAAAACCTAAATCAAAAATGTGATACAGAGAACTTTAAATAGTATAAACTACAACAAAATATTATTTTTAATGTTAGAAATTAGAATATTTAATATTCAATACTATGAAAAAGTTTCAATTAATATTTCAAAATAATGTGGCATAATTTTAACAATCATATTACATAAAAATAAACAATTGAAAACTGTTTTGTAAATATCTATCAGTTTTTGCTCACTGAGCATAATTAGGACCAATTAAACATAATTACCACAACATATACACCAGAATGGTCACTCATGGCAGGTAATTAATTTTTTATATGGTAAGATTAGTATACATTTATGGTTAAAACATACAGATATCAACAAAAGAATGTTTAAAACTAAAATATTTAAAGCCAATTATTTTTTTACAATTTTTTTTATTTTTTTTTTTATATTTTAGAAATAACATTAACCGCAACTTTACACATTATTGATTTATATATAACTGTACACAATAGTCCGACAATGGTATCAACGTACATAGAAAAATATAGTTATTTTCTTCAATGAATTATCTTCATAACAATTATTATTTTGTAAATTCGAAATTTTTATAAGAACTTGTATCAAGACACATTATTTGAAATGAAATTTTGAAATAGCATAGTCTCCATAATTTCTGAAGTGTGTATTAAAAACTAATGTAGTTAAAAACACACAATTATCAATTGTATATAATAATTCATATAAATATACCAACAAAATAAATTTGTCATAATCCCATTGTCAAAAAGAGAAGAGTGGAGAGGCAACAATTTAGGTCATTTTTTTTTTTTTTTTTTTTTTTTAATGTTAAGGAGACTAGCTTTAATATAAAGTAAAACCAGATGTATAAAAGATAAATAAATTAAAATAAAACCCTTAACAAAAAAACACTGTATACAAATATTTGCAAATTTATAAATAATTGAATTCCAAAGGAAATAAATGAAAAATGGCTAAGTATTTAGAATTTTTTCTTATTTATATAAATTTTTTATAACATGGTATCTACAATAAAATAAAAAAAAAATAGAAGAATTTGTGTCGATTGATGAATACATGCAGCTTTAAGATAGTGTCATTACACTATTCAACTGTTTCATCCTCATCAGAATCGTTTGCTGCTAGTGAAAGGAAGAATGAGTTTAAAACTACGACAGCCATGGTTTTTGTTTCTAAATCTTCATCAAATCCTGCTTTGAATTCATCTTCTTTTTTCCATAGTTCAAATGATTCTTTACTTATTACACTATCTTGATAGAGTTTATGGAACAGTTTTAACACCATTCCTAATAGAAAAACAAATGTATTAATATTAAATCTAAAAATTTAAAAGTTGACTACTGACCTCCAGGATGTTCAAGAGCAGCAGACATTATTTGAATGCCATATAGACATTGAACTTCTCGTGCCTGGATTTCAGGTTCTGGAAGTGGTTCTGACCGAATATAACAAGTTAATAATTTCACATGAACATGGTCAAAGAAATCTTCATAAGAATGATTCGGTTCTAAAAGTTCAAATTTAATATTTTAATAACTAGTTTACAATAGTTTTAAAAGTAGTAACTTACTTGAACATACTATAACAATAGCTATAGTTAATGCCCGCACAAATTGAGGGCATTTAATTATTTCTGCACTGATATTAACCTTAATTAAGAACAAAAAAATTAAAAGTGATAACACTTATCAAAAAGCAAAAAGGAAATATAATGCAATTTTTATTAAGTAGTTAATTTACTCACACTTATCCAACTATGTAATATATCATACAGTAGTTTACTATCAGTCAGCTTCATTTTATCATACATAGCAATAGATAAGAGGAATACTCCAATTCGCTAAAATTAAATAGGTTTTATAAATAAAATTAAAATAACAAAATAAGGTCTAAAAAACTTACATCATTTTTAAAAAAATTATTTATTTGGTTATTAGGCATAAATACATCAAGAGGAACATATTCTGACGTCCTCCATTTATTGTAAATCCATAATATACCACCTAGTTGCTAAAAATACAAAAATTGTATTAATTATAGTGAAATAAATATCTATCAAATAACATACAAAAAAATTTTTAAGGCTAAGCTTTAAACATATCACATTTTCTATAAATAGAATATTATTTTAATTTTAATTGGATACAGAAATTATGAGAAAAAGATTTTAGTCTTATTTAATGTAAAGCTAAAAGTATAATTTTTATTTAAATATCAGATCATATCAGTTTAAACCTAATGTTTATAACCTTATGTCCATAAAAAAAAATTCTTGCCCATTTTTAATGTTATAGAATCTCGAGAAAAACTTATGGAGAACTTTGGACATATTTAAAATTTACGATAACAAGAAAATGTTTTAGTAAATGTTTGATATAAGTTTTTTGTCTTAACATATTTCTTAAACAAAAAAAAATTTTTTCTGATAAGCCAGTAATAAAACTAAAAATTAATTTATTGTGGTCAAAAACATGTAACTATAAATTATAAAGGATCTTATAATATTTAAACAGGTAATTGTTACTTACTTCTTTTATGTTTTGCGTTTCCTTGGAACTAAGAATTTTATTTAATACTTCTATGAAAAATTTACTAGAATTATCTGGCCGTATTGACGTACAACAATCTTTTAAATTATTGAAATCAAAGGAAGCATTTTGTAATAATAATAATGGAGCTATATATATATATAAAAAAAAAAAAATGTTTTATTTATAGAAAGCTTGTATACTTTGAATAATTGATTAAGTAAAAAAATATAAAATTACCAATAATGGCAGCAATATAAGAGAAAAATTG